ATATTGGCATGATTTAAGAAGAGAAAGCAGAGTTAAAATAAGCCAGCAAGAAGGGACTGGGTCTGTAATGATTTGGGTTAGTTTTGGAGGTAAATGGGATAGATGGGGAGATAAAATTGATTTAGTATTTGTTGACAAAAATATGATTATATTTAGTGTATTAATTGGAGGTCATAAATGGTAGTTTCAATAAGATAATGATCCCATTCATGCCTCAATGTCAGCAAAAAATTGGTTTAAAAAAGAAAATATTGATGTAATTGACTGGCCTTCACATAGTCCAGATTTAAATCCCATTGAAAATTTATGGAGGATTTTAACAGCCATTGTTTATCAAAATGGGAAACAATATGAATCTGTAAATCAACTGAAAATTGCAATAATTGATGCCTGGGATGAAATTAAGGATGAACAATTAAAAAACTTAATAAACTCCATGCCTAACATAATTTTTCAAGTAATTTTAGCTAAAGGGGGTGAAACCAAATATTAAAAGTGTTTAAAATATATTTAAAAATTATTTTTATGTAATTTTAGAAAGTGTACCTATGCTTTTGTAACAAGTAAAACATGAAAAACTGTGATGACTTTTATTACCTTATCATTTTCAAGCTTTTTATTTTTTAACAATATTTTTGTAATTATTTTAAAACATATAAAGCTGTTTTCTATAAAAAAATTTAAATAAATTTTGAAAAATCACAAAATTTGTGGTGTTCCTATACTTTTTTAACAGACAGAATATGTAATGGGAACAAAATATAGCTAGTTATTTTGTATGTGTCCTCTGAAATTTCTGCCATTTGTCTTTCAAGACATTCAATTATTCAATTTATCTCAATGGGATTAAAATCTGAATTCTAGACAAACCAATCCATTTTTTAAAATAACAGAAGGCTTTCACTTAAAAATTATTAAGTTATCTATAACTGTAATGATTATATTAGAGATATATAAAGTATTAAAATTTGCTGTGAGTTCTTTTGGATTGGATTTTTCTTCTGATAAAAATATTTAATATAAATATTTTTTTATATAATTTATGCTTTGCAGAAGAACATTTTCTTGTCTTCTATAAAATGTGTGTTTGGTCTTGAAATATTACAACTTTTAATTCAAATAATTACATTAGGTAGTTATCCTGACACTTTCCCTGTTGTTTATTTTTATTTTTCAAAGTTATTTCTAACAAAAAAAAAAAAAAAATAATCAATATGAAAACATCCAATGTTTACAATATTTCAAATCATGTCTTAGTATTACCTAAGGTAAGGTAATTTTATGTTGCAGAATTCATCAGAGAAAAATAAAGATAAATTTTAACTAAGATGTTCTAATCAATTCTTAATTTAGTTTTCAAGTTATTGAAAGTATAATAATTTATTACATAAATAAAGCATGTAATAAAATAAACAATGTATATGCAATGATTACATTAAAATTATTATTGGTTATATGCTGGGCTGGCCCTGGTTATACACAACCTTCTCTACTATAATCTTACTATGAATACAGTCATATTGCTGTTTGCACTTTACAAAGTTATATGGGATACTGTACACGTACAATATTAATTAAAATGTTTATTATGTAATTATTCATGCCATAAATTCTTTAAACTGGGGAGTCTGAAAACTTTTTATAAGATTTTCTGGAAATTTTTAAATTTAGGACCTGACAATGCTGTCAGGCATAAAGTTTACTGCATATTTGTTTTGTACAAGAGACTTGAGAACAGTTTTGCCAGGTCCTTAACAAGCTTTTCTCTATTTTAACTACATTTTCCCACCAGATTAGTTCAACATCCCCAAAATTTCACAATAATCAAAATTTTCAATACAGATATATGTGGCCAAATGTTTGCCTCAAACAGACATTATGCAGTGCATAACTGTACAAACAAATCAATTTTGGTGCATATTTATATGGATTTTTGTGGATATAAAATTATAATTCATTTAGATGATCATACTGTCATCTAAATGAAAAAGAAAAATAAGTTTCTGAAGTGAATATTTTTCTTGGATTATTTTTTTTCTGTTCCAGTGTAATTAAGAACCAGGATTAAAAAAGTAATTTGAAAATACAATTTCAAATTATTATAGATTTTATCTTTATCTTGGGATCAGTAAAAAAGTCTGGACAACATTTTTAGTATTAGTTTTGAGTGGTGTCTGTAACAAAGGCATCTTAATAAAGTAAATAATACGTTGATGGTTGAAAAGGAAACTGTTTGAGAGAGAATTTATTTGTATATGGACTCAATCTTTCAATAATTTTTAATACTTGATTAATTCATAAAATTATTTACAAGGGGACCTTACGGTCTCGGAAATTCAGTTCGGGATGAGACTTTGCAGGTTAGTAGTATACCTCAATGGTGTCCACCCAGAAGAATTGTAAAGCACACTAGCAAAAAGATTCCGAGAAAAAAAAGCTCTAAAGTTTTAAGCACAGTTCATATATCGATCGATTTTTACACTACGGCAGCACAGCGAAATGGCTGAGCCTGTAGCAAACTCGCTTGCCATTCCGACGATCTAGGTTCGATTCTACCTTCGGCTAACTTTTTTTTTAAATTGTTTTAAAAATTGTAACAATTTTTAAACAAAGTTAATGACCTAAAAATATTATCAATTAAATCATAAATAACTGTCAACTTTCACACCTGGGAGTTAATTATTCCGTGAGTTTTCACAAGTCAGCAGCAAAAGTGGCACTTTCATATAACTTTCCGAACTATGGTCTTAAGTTCATCGGTTGAAAATAACAAGGAATTGAAAAATTCTTCAAATTTAAAATGAATATTTTTAACCTCTCCACAGCTTAAAATATTTTTAAAAAGATGAATAATTTCAAATGCATTTCTAATGGAGGTAAATTAAAACTTTAATTTTAATTAAAAATTTTAAGATATTTTAAGCTGTGGAGAGGTTAAAAATATTCGTTTTAAATTTGTAGAATTTCTCAATTCCTTGTTATTTTCAACCCATGAACTTAAGACCATAGGTCGAAAGTTATGTGAAAGTGCCACTTTTGCTGCTGACTTGTGAAAACTCACGGAATAATTAACTCCCAGGTGTGAAAGTTGACAGTTATTTATGATTTAATTGATAATATTTTTAGGTCATTAACTTTATTTAAAAGTTGTTGCAATTTTTAAAACAATTTAAAAAAAAAAATAAAGTTAGCCGAAGGTAGAATCGAACCTAGATCGTTGGCGTGGCAAGCGAGTTCGCTACAGACTCAGCCATTTCACTGTGCTGCCATAGTGTAAAATCGATCGATATATGAGCTGCGCTTAAAACTTTAGAGCCTTTTTTTCTTGGAATCTTTTTGCTAGTGCGCTTTACAATTCTTCTGGGTGGACACCCTTGAGGTATACTACTAACCTGCAAAGTCTCATCCCTAACTGAATTTCCGAGACCGTAAGGTCCCCTTGTTAGTTAGTGAAACACATTTTAAAATCTATGTGGAAAAGATCTGCTGAATTATAATTTTTCTGAAGACATATATTTATGGTATTTGGGGAAGTGCACAAATTTGAATGCATTCTTGGATTCATGATATATGTACAAGAGTAGAATGAAGTTGCCCACTTTCAGCTGATATTAAATACATGATTATTTTTCCAAATTATCACAATGAGATATATAGAAAGACAGTTTAGTGAAAATTAGAGATGTTTTATGAGCTTGGTCCAGACACAAAAAAAAATCAAACATCCTTAAACATTTTGTGACTGCTAGTTTCAAGTGGAAGTGGGTTTACAAGATCCTGGATAGACTAGAAAAAGATTGTGACAGTACAAAGACAAGTGCAACCTTCAATACCAAAGTTGTTTTCAGCATCAATCTGTCTAAAAGATACGGAATGTCTGACAAGACTATGGAAAGGATGTGTTTGACATATAATAAGTGGTAAGGAGACAAAAGTCTGCATCAGAAATGACCAGAAGTCTAGGTCAAGAATTGAGGCAACAACAGATTGTTCACTGTCTTCAAAGGCTCAAGAAATATCCTTTCATATTCGATGTAATCATGGATGAACCAGAATTACTATCCTTTCCTGCCTCCTCAACCTACAGATTACTTTATAAAGAAGAGAGAAAAACCCAATGACAAGAAAAGTTGTACTTCAAGGCAAAATTTAACAAGTTATACAGTTGGACCAAAATAATCATCAGAACCATTTTTCAAGGAGTCAAAAGGAGCTAATCAGGATTCACATAACTTGAGTGCATTGAGAAGAAATTGGTACCTTATATCATTTATTGATTCCAAGCCATTGATAAGCCAAAAATTTTTCAATTGCTTGGAACTGGGGTATCAAAAAAGACTGGTCTGTGCTAATGGATGGCATACAAAATCAAGTTAAGGGCTGAATAACAAGATGAAGAAAAAGTTGGTTGAAGTTCCAAACAGCAATTGGTCAAACTTTATATTGGAGCTGATTCTAGAGTTTTGCTATGCTACTAAACAAGGGCATCTTCATTACCATTTAGTCATAAAAATTTATTGCCAACACATTGTTATTCACATGAGTAGTCTTATTTATCATTTTGCATTAATAATAAATAAATTACACTTTGTGATGAGAGTGCATTTTTCCCTAAATACCATATTATATAAGAAAACCTATTATACTGTACATCAGTTGCAAATTAGATGATGATAAAATATGAGGAAAAAACTTGATAATTTCAAATTTGCAGTTTCACTTTCAACTCCCAGCATATTAACTTTAAGCTACAGCAAAAGCAATTAAAATGTAAATTTTTATTTGTAAAATTTTGTGTATTATCATTTCAGCAGAATTTAATCTATCAGAACTTCAATACTGATTTTTACTGTTTAATTTATTATAAAATGTTTTGTATATATTATGCAAACTTTTATGTGAAACATTCATAAACCGATTTAAAAAATGCAAAAATATTGTATATGTATATTATAAATTGAATAAGATTCATTCAAATTTTATTATATTGTATTTTTCAGGGATAGGGAAAATAGGGTCATTCACCATCATCACCATCATCACGTCACCAATTCTGAAAGTATACGTAATGGTGACTTAGTTGATAGAGGAAGAGAAAGAGAAAAAGAATGGGAAAAATCTAGAGAAAGAAGAGAGACTTCGCGCTCTCCTATTCGTAGTAGTCGAGAACCATTGCCTGGAAGCCTGAAGAATGGTAGTGCCTTTGAATCAAGCAGTATTGCTCCTACAAAACAGGAAATTAAAGTAAAAGAAGAACGAAAAGAAGAAGATAACACATCAAATTCTAATTCAAGGGACTCGGCAGTCAGTGCTATTAGCTCGGTGCCTTCAGAAAGAGATAGAACAAGGCCTAGTGATACCCCTCAGTCTGAAGCCACAGTTGCACCTGCTGATTTTTCAACTAGGACTACAGTACCACCTCATTCTTCAACGTTAGGATTAAATTCCCTAGACAGAACACATGTGATGGGACCACTGGGACTTGGGCCTGATCGGCCACCTCATTCTCAGGTTCCTCATTATTGGGGTCCTTTTAATCCGGCAACAACTTCGGCAGCAATCGCTAGTTCCGGCAGTGAATTAAGAGACCATTTTCGAAATCTAGACTTTCTACAGTCTAGAGAAATAGAGAGAGAGAGGGAATTAATGCAACGATATATTGCAACTACACGATCCTCCATGATGGCACTGCCAACACATGAACGTTTCAGGGATGTGGAATTTAGTCGACAGATGTCGTCGGTTTCTGTATCAAATAATGATCCTTCTGTAAGAGATTTAGAACGTCAGAGGCAATTAGATAGGGAAAGACAAGCAGTTGCCTTTGATAGGGCAAAACTGCTTCCACCACCTTTAAGGCCTACAGATCCCCCATACGGTCATGGACCTGGAATCCCTTCAGTTACTGTAGCAAGTAGTATATTTCCATCTCTTGCAACATCCAATCCTTATCTGAATAGTCTGTGTGCTTCTAGTTCTAATCCTGGAAATACCAAGTCAAAAAGTGGGACAACTCCAGGAAATGGTATCCCACCACCTCTTATACCATGCAGTGTTCCTGTTAGTGTTGGTAGTGGTGGTGGAACTGTGGTTGTGCAAAATCATACGGGACAACATAGCAGAGGTTCATCACCTCTTCTACATAAATTAGGTGCTGGTTCTGGCACAATTTTGGAAAACTCCCATGAACCATTCCACACTAAGGACAGACGGGAACTTCCAGCTGAACTAAATTCCCAATCCAGGTAACGTCCGAACTGACTCGTGTTGTGTATATTCTCTTCTATTGTAATATATATACTGTGTTATATATATTAGTTGCCTCCTTGATGGAGTGAATGAAATTGACATTTCCTACATTGTTTGTTGTACACGCAAACCAGCGTGAAGTGATTGTCTTGTCTTTCTCATGCACATATCCTCCTCCCCGCTGAAGTCCCATGCTGACGAAACGACGAATTTGTGCCTCTTCAACTGGCTGTGTTTGTAGATGCTATGTGCACATCACTCAGAACATAAAAAATCAGCACCACCCTAACCTTTCTACAATGCTATAGACACAAAAACAAAAAAACAAAACAGTCATTTTATTAGAAATACTAGTGATTGCACGTCTTTCATTGGTGGTTGTACAGCAACAAGTAGACTGAGAAGAAAGTATTATTTGTCTGTCAATGTACTTCTAGTGGCAACACCAAATGTTATGGATTTATATGCTGCATTCAAGACTTGCACTTTTTGCATATTTATTGTAGATGACAAGCTGTCTGTCTGCAGTATTGAGCCATTTTATTTGGTTTACAATTGCCAAGCAGAATCTGCTCAGATATGATCTTGCATTTTAGACTTCTTCATTGGATTTGTGATGGTACTGATACAGTATTTCACCAAATCAGATCTTTGGTGTAAAAATCTAATATCTGTAGTCAAAACAAAATTGCACGCAATAGTTTACAACAGATTTCCTAACAGATATTGTAAGATATGTGAACAGGGAAATACAAAATGTTTTTCAAAGTTTGTTTATCAATCTTTCCTTTGCCACAATTAACAGCCTATGTAAATGGACGAAAAAATGTTTGTCATCATGGTAAAACTGGGAGGGGGGAGCTGATTATTGTTAAATCATATACATCATCCCTCATTCTTGCTGCATTTGAACCAACCATCCACAAATTTGTGTCTTTTGGCTATATTGCAGTATCAACTGCCTAATTAAAAGACACTTTTTGTTTCATAGGGGGAGAACCACATTTAGAACTCAAGCCAATTGTGTACCATTTTAGCCCTGCCTGTATGTGCTGTATGTACATTGAATTTTATTTATAAAAGAGAACAGATTTTATAGGACAGACAGTGGTTCTCTGTTTGGTATTTCATCCCACGTGCATTCTCGGGGTTCCAGGTGATGAGGAGTGTACATGTACATTGGAAAAATGTTTCTATTTAGTGTATAGAGAAATAAATGAAATGGTGGAATGACTATGGACTTTATTATTTGCTCGATAATATATTAGTCAAATCTCCATCCTTAATAAATGGCACTGTACATTAGAATATATTTGTACTATTTATGCATTTTGATAAAATTTGCTCTAAATGTTCCACAGGAATAGTAATTTTCAAATGTACATAAAGTATTAAATATTGTTGATGAAGTAAATCATTTTAAAAATATCATATTTTATTTAATGAAAAATACTTACAATATTTTAAGTTTCAATTGATACTTCCATTTGAAATAATTTATAGTAAATTTATAAAAATATGACAACTTTTAACATGAAAGTGTGCAGAAAACTATATAATATATTCTCAATAAGACTTGTCCCACACATGACAAAATTATATATCCAATAAATGTTTATTTCCATATTCATTCCACAAACTAAATCAAAAGTATTATCAGATTCATATCACTAACTGTATTAAACGATTTTAATTCTCCTAAAATTAAAACTAAATCTCCCTCTCAATTCTATCAAAATTTAACAGTTTTAATCATTGAAAGATTCAAAAAAATTAAGATCTTTGTTATTCTGTGTATAAATAAATAAAATATATATATATATTTATAAATTTGATTTATAAGAATGGAGTTTAAGACAGAATCTATTATAAAGAAAATAGCTTTTGTTTTCTGAACCTATTGTTCAGAATACTAAAATTAAATTTGAGAGAAAAATATTAAAATGTAATATAAATAGAGATAAAATGGAAAACGTTTATAATTAAAATTTTGTACAAATGAAATATTAAATGTCTCAAGAAGTTATTTCATATTTACTGTGGTAATTTCTAAAAATTAAATCTAAATCTTTTAAAATGTGTGTCCATATATTAAATATTTAACAAATTATAAATAGCCTGTGATATATTCTGCTAAAATTAAGTTTTGATCATCTGCTATTAAAAAGAATTGATCAGAAAAGATAAAGTATGAAAAATGTTACAAGCTCATTTTATATCATGCAAGCAATCATTTATAAATTTATGGCAAGAAATTTTTGATGCTGTTTTTTTAATTAGTAAAATAATATGTTTGAAATATTGCAGAATACAAAAATTAATTAATTACTACAACACTTAAAGAATCTTCAAAACAATACATGATAATGATTTTTTTCACTTCATGCCCAAAATGTACCTAACACACTTAATTATTTTCAGTTTTAGTACAGATTTAACATGATTTCGCGCATATAACTTTTCAAATAACCATTATTAAATTATTACATAAGTTCTTAGTAATAATATTGTCTTATTCTTTAAATTACGGAAATCTTTCATTGTATACAAATATAAGCACAAAACGCATTAGGCTACTATTAATTGACTATATACTAGTATAATTTATACTAGTATATATTCAATACTAGTAAATATAAAAACAGATACTGATTATTTCGCAAATACTGTACCATTCAAATCTACNTTTAATTTATTATAAAGTATATTCGAATAAATTTTAAATTTATTCCACGAAATATAAACAACAAATGATAGACACTTTTTTGTATACAAATATAAGCACAAAACGCATTAGGCTACTATTAATTGACTATATACTAGTATAATTTATACTAGTATATATTCAATACTAGTAAATATAAAAACAGATACTGATTATTTCGCAAATACTGTACCATTCAAATCTACCCTTGGTATTCAAGGATCGCTTCTCGATATGTTTCGTGAATACGTAAAGATTTTAATATTTAGTGCCCGATTTTGATGACTTTCAAAAAAGCAGTTTCAAATTTCACACGGATTTATGTCTATTGTTATTCAGAAATAAAAGAAATCTCTATCTATAATCTTTGACAAACCTTTTCGTACCTGGTCCCTAGACTTGTCTTTTCCAGCTCATATGGTCCTTCTCGGGAAAGGGTTGAAGACCCCTGCTGAATAGATTAGTCAGCATCGTAGAAGAAAATCAAAAATTATGAAAATAAGTAGCTTATCATGTATATTTTTTGAATTTAGATTCGTTTCAGGTTTCTGAAATTAAAATTATGTTAATGAAATTATTACTATTTTACTAACGTTATATTTTGTTTTTTTAATGTATGCAAATAAGAAAATGTTTAATATCAAAATGGTTGTCATTTATAAATTTATTTTACCGAATGAATATTTCAGTTTTCATTGTTGGAAAGAAATCTTATTTGAAATCAGATTCGTCAGAATTTCTCAGATTATATTTAAGTGGTATTGAGGTAAGACATGTATGTTTACGTATGCGATAAAAACAAAGTACCTTAAATAATTGCAAAAAAAGGCCTCTGTAATATCAATGATAAAATCTTTGATCATTAAGTTTTATTTTCAAAAGATATAACCTTAGTAAGTAATAGGTAATTTTGTAATATAGTTCTTCCAACATAAGTTAGCAGTTGTCAAACCATACTAAACCGTTTTTAATGAAGCCATTCGTGGAGGAGAAAGGATATCCATTGCTCCAAGGTTGCAAAAAGTATTTACAACTAATAAAGCAGTCTCGCCCTCCAACAAGTAGTTTAGTGTGATTCGACTACTGTCAACTGATAAGTTTGAAGGACTATACTTAGTCTAGAAATGAAAAAATTAATGCTTTTCCACGAGACTCTTCTTTTTTTATAATGTTTATCACTGACTGCTTTCGAGACTAGATTACGAATGAATATTTGTTTATAATAATTCACATTTATTCTCTTTTGTAACCATGAAAATTGAAAAATACATATTACTGCGGATTAACTCTGATCGAGTCTTCGTTTCTTCTTATGCCGGTCAGCCAGATGGTCATACGGTAAGATCCGAATTCAGATTCGATCTGACTTTCCGTTGGATAATCCGAATCTAGAATTATTTCTTATCCTCTTTTTACGCTGATTGATTCTTTTGCGAAATTGAAAGTCCATAACCGTCAAAACTTGCAGTATTTCGAAAATTTCAATTGTATGTTTAGTCATTTTGGCACAATGTAACGTTTATGGCTTTTGTGCCAAAAAAGTATCAGTCAGTCAAATCATATTTTATTAATGAATTGTTCCTATGATTATTATGTTTTATCTGTAGCTATCAAAATACTTTTAGTTTTATTAATTAACTATAATAAATAATGTAATTTTATCAATATTCCATTATTTAATAAGTTTAAAGATCGAACCGTTTTTAGAACAATTCGGCCCAGGTTTCTTCACGCCTTTACTCTAATTTTAACAAATTTAGTCAAAATTTTTAGATTATCCAAAGAAAATTTACTCATTGGTATTTAATATCTCATCAATATATTAATCTTTTCTATTTATAAGAATAAAGTTTTCAATAAACGCCGACAAAAATTCGTTTTTCGATCACGCAAAACGTGCATTGCCACTGAAACTAACTGAAATTTAATTTCAGAATTCAAATCTTGTAAAATATACCAATTAATATCATATCTTTTTCGATATAAGTTATGTTTTTTAATCCATAAATTAACTTTGAAATATATTTATATAATGAAAATACCAGTTAATTTACTTACTTTTATGCACAATGGAAATTTTAAGCTGACTGTGATGTCACGAAGAATACTTATTAAATAATTTTAATGATGAAATTTTTAGATTGATATTGTATGTATTGAATATAAATATATTGAAAAATATTTATTTTCATCTTATTTGCTAGATTTCAATGGGACCCAGGACAAGTATCTTCTTTGTCGTCAACTTTCGGCGGCTTTGACAATTAATTTATGATGAAATTTTTTTATTTGTGTTAATGATTGTTAAAACTATTCTTAAATGTTTTGTGTAACTCGTAAAACGAGCAACATGTTATTGTGTTACGAATGAATTATACCATAGTAGAATAAATCCATATTTTAAAAATGCGAATCAATCATTGAAGTAAAAATAATTTACATTTTCTTAAATACACAAAATATAGTATGTCGTTTTATAAATCATTAGGGGGACTTCTCCCAGGTCGCTGTAGGCAACCTAACTCCCCCACTTGTTCCCAATATAGATTATTTGAAAATTTTCAATAATATGATATGCCTTCGTCTACCTATGGACAGATGAAAAGAATTGTACAATTTCGAGTGAGGATTCAATGATGTAAACTTAGTTCAGATTTCGTTTCGAAGTGCGCCTCCAAACTGAAATTAATTGGAAAAAGTTTTTATTCAAATCACATAAAAAAATCTTTGATGGAAAAAATCTGAAAGGAAAGTCAACAAAACGATCTTCAAATTCCAGAATTTTTTTTTCAAATCGTTGGATTAACTGAATGTAGTTTATACTTTCTTTTTACTCTTTCCTCTCTGTGAATACTAAGGAAATCTTTTTATCAGGACCCACGACTGATGGGTTCGGTTTGGTGGGATATGCCATGGGGTGCTCTTGGAGGACTATGGGGAAAATATTTAGGGTTTTTTATTTTTTTGCTCTTTTCGCCCTGTGAGCACTAAGACGTCCTCTTCTGTAGCAAGCCCATTATGGATTCGGTCAGATGGTCAGGAACGGGGCCGACATATCCGGTCGAATCATCCCCGAAAAATTTTCAGGAATTTTTCCGGAAGTTCAAATTCAGTTAAAAAGCCCGGATGGCGAGAGACGGGAGCCCGACATACCTGAAATAGACCACCTATGAAAACCTTGGTATTGCACGTCAGCCTACCTGTGGAGGACCCGAGGTAGAATGATACTTGACTGCTTCGGCTAAAAAGCTGTCTTCTGAAATTCAAGTGAATTTGATAATTCGGTAATTTAAAAACGTGTGTTTAACTTTCCTTTAAAACTCGGAAAATCAACACGAGAAAAAAAGTTCAGATAACTTAATATACGATAGTGAGCAATTTGTTTAAAATATTTCGTTCATATACAACTGCTAGCGTAAACTGAGAAAGCTCAAGTCGTATATGAGCGAAAGTTTTTAAATAAACTCGCTTTAGTAGATTTCGTAAACTGTGTTTTTCTTACACTTTAGTGATCTTAAAAATATTTAAAAAGATTCTTCAAATGTTTGAATGGATTCTATGTTTAATTTAATTTTATACGACTTATTTTTAAAAATAGATTTTTATTAAAAATTGTCCAACCAATGACCGAGTGGATTAAATCACTAAGCACTAGCAGTTGGTCGCTGGTTCGCATCTTATCAACGAGCTGACTACGTGTGGTTTTCTTTTTCCGGGTTTTTTCACGTGTTTAGCACAGTTTCCCATAGAAAATCTTCCCGTCAGATCGCCCATGTGTTACGTTGCCTTATCCCATAAATTCTACAACCTACATCCTTTGAAAAATATTTTTTCTGGTCTTCACTGTATAGATTCTGTAAAACTGGACGGAATATGGTATTCAGAGGCTTTTCCAGTTTGTTTTGGACACCTTGTGTTCACTAAAGGGCATTGTTGATTCGGCCAGATCCACAATGGAGCGGCCGGCGATGAGGATGGGCCCTAGATATCTAAGATGAAGCACTTTCGAAATATTTCTGGGGTTTACTCGATTCTTTCAGATTCATTCTCGAGTATCCCAAAACGTAGGCTGATTCGGTCATTCGACCGTCATTTTTTCAGTTAAATGGACGTTTTAATAACTGCAAAATTCAATTTATAATTATGTGAAAACGTAAAACCTAATTACGTCAAATGATATATTTTATGGCATAGACACACAAACCTTTATATTGCATATACATATATAGACTAGTACGCTACAATGAATTGCAACCTACGATCCGATATGTTTAGTCCACTTGTTTTTGGCCTAGTCGCTATGTTCTGTAAGTTACTTTATATTAAGATATCCTGTTTGTATATGAAATCGCTTTAAATAAGTAAGCAAGCATTCTAAAATACGAACTGCGAAGATTATATAGCAAAAAGGATTAACTATGACAACGCTTTACTCGAATGAAATGGAACTACAAGCTCAAATGCAGCAAAGGGCCAATCACATGCAGAGCCGGCCCTACCATAAGGCGAACGGAGCTCCAGGTGCTCCAGGCGCTAAGTCCTATGGGGCGCCTCAGTGGTAAAGAAAATTAAAGGGTATAAATTAGGGGCAACCAAGGGGGGGCGCCATAATAGGATCTCGCTCCATCCTAAAACTTGCCTCGGGCCGGCACTGATCACATGTATACTGTATCAGACGCAAGCCTTATTATTATTCGTTAAATCAAAACATATCGTAAACTAAACCGAGCAATTATTTATTGTAACATGATCACAATTTTTAATTTATTTTTTATTTCAAATGTAGCTCAAGCTCTCTAGCTCAAAATAGTAGTGGCCCTTATCTATATATATAACCCATTCATTTCGTGTCCGTCCCATAACCGTTTCATAACGGACACTAGAGGCGCCCCTATCGTGTGTCATATTTCAAACACCAAATTAAATTAACAATTTTAATTATTATTTAAATTAACAATATAAATTATTATTATTCATTTGGCCAATAAATTATTATTTGGTCAATATAACAATATAAATAATTCAGTATATTTGTAATAGGAATTTATTATTTCAGGGGCTTATATCTCGCGAAGGGTCGCGAGTAGGGGTATGGTTCCTTTGACTTTATTGTTCGCACAGGGGGCTACAGTTTGGGGAGATCGCCACGTCTTCATTCGGAGGGTAAATCTTACCATTCGGACTTTTACAGAGCTGTAGAGCATATTGATGGGAACAAAAAAGTCAAAGGAACCGTGCTTCATAAAAATTTGTAAAACAGGCCCACTAGGGGGCGTCCCTGGCTACTAGTACATCATAATTTTCGGTTACCAATGGAGTTGTAGCGATAATCTGTTAACTGCTTTCAAGGGAAAAGTTTTGAATTGAAATTAACGTGACTTCCGGTTTGCATCGGAAGTTCGTATATAGTTAATCGGGGCCTCCTGCTCCTATGTTTTTCACGTTTGGTTTCGTCTTTCATTTATCTAACTCCATTGTCGAGATTAAGGAAAGAAAGAGACGGATGACAGTGGGAATTTATAGGTTACAATTTTTTTCAAATTGCAGC